GGGGCGAAGTGCCGACAACTCCGCGCGGCTCCCGCTGACACGCGTGGCCGGGAGGAGGGGGTGGGTCGGGGGCGTCCCTCCCGCCGCGATCGCGGACCGGGACGAGCGGGGCTGGGGGTCCGGGCGCAGCCGCCGGCGGAGCGGAACCCGGGGCCGCTCCGTGGGCATCCGCCGGTAAAAGGCGTGGGAATGCGGGGAGCGCCGCTCACGGAGCCCATTTCCCACGAGTCTGGTCCCAAACGCACGCGACCCGGGCTTCGCTGGGATCGCACAGCAGCTCAGTTCCCGCCTGGCTGCGTACCCCGCACCCGCCCCGTCCCTGGGGGTACCCCGGCTCTACAGGCGCACACGCCGAGTGCTGCATCCTCTCCGTTCCCGCTACCCTTCATTCATATGTGTGCCGCGATTAAATATTTGATCAAAGGTTGAACGCTAGCTCAAGTCGGTTGTATTTTTAATGTACGACCCTTAAAATAGAGCGGTTTGTAAACGGAGAGTGTCCAAAGATTCCCAGCCCTGCCTCCCCCCCCCTCCTCCCGGCCGTGCCGCCCCCCCAAATAATAATAACGCTGCAGATTGTAGAAGGATTTGAGGCTGCAGCCAGAGAGAAAGGGATTAGGGCGAGAGCGCTGGAAGTTAAATTGTGCTGCATATAAAAAATGGGCGGATTGGTCTCTAGATGAGAGCTTGGTACCACCTTCCTTTCTAAAATAAAATCTCTCTGGCATGAAGTCACAGCCTATTTCACATCCGGTTTACCCTGGGACGTATTACTACTGTCTTGGTAAAGAGAAAGCTTTTGTTGTATAGCGACGGTCGGAATATCGGAATAGAAATTCGGGCTCCCAGCCCGGAGGAGCGGAGCGGCGGCGGCGGGCGATGGCCGAGGCGGAGTGAGCGGCGGGGCCGGAGCCGCGCAGCCTCCGCGCCGCGGGCGGGAGCGCAGCGGCGGCACAGCCGGGCAGCGGCGCCGCGGACCCGCGCCCGAGGGGCTCCGGTAAGGGCGGCTGCTGGCACTCACCGCGCGCACACACACACACACACACACACACACACACACACACACACACACACACATCGCCGCACCGCACACGCACACCCGCACCGCTCCGGGTGCTGCCGGCTGCGGGCACCGCGTCCCGGCGCGCAGGCGGCTGCTCAGCTCTGCTCTGCTCAGCTCAGCTCTGCTCTTCTCTCCCCGCAGGTACCGCCGGGTCGGGGTGGGTTTTTCCTACCCCCTCCAGCTGGAAAATCCGCAGCGATCGAGGGGCGTTTTCACATTTCTTTCGTTTATTTACCTTTTTAGCGTGGTCGCGTTTCCACTTGGAAAAGGTGGATGGGTTTGGGGGGGTTTGTTATTTATTTATTTTGCTCCCAGGGAGGCGGTGGGAGGGGTGGCTCGCTCAGGGCGAGGGGGAAATACAAAGTTGAAATGCCGGGAGGAAAACAAGTCCAGATTTGCACCTCGGATCCGTGCAAATCTCTCGCTGGGGGGTCAAAATGCATCAAAATGC